CATTCTGCATATTTCCTATTTCTCACATGTGGCAGCGGGTTGGAACTGGATGAGCTTTAAGGTCCCTTCCAACCCAAACCATTCCAGGATTCTAAGTGCAAGAAATATTTTATCTATAGCAATCCATTGCCCTGAGTGGTAAGCTTTGGCCCTGATTTCCAGCATGTTTTCTATACCTTATGTTTTCTTTCTCTTGGACCCCTCACAAGAGAAGGTATCTGGCAATAATAATTAACAATGAAATACCATGTATGAACTTATTGTGCTCTATCAAGTCCTTAAAATGAGAACAAATGACATTTATTCTGATGAAGGACGAGGCCAACTGAAGCATGCAGGAGCCATACCTGCTTGTACTTCTTCAGGATGGTCTCTTCAAAGCCAAGGAAGATATATATTGCTCCTTGGTGCTCATCCTCCAAAGGAGCACCGACAACAAGGTCGTTGTAGGAGTCCTGGTTGAGGTCGGGCACAGCGGCGATGCAGGACCCAAAGCGGGAATTCTGGTAGCTCTGCAGATCCAGGAGGGCTCCACTGGGAATGAAGCGGTTCTGCCAGGCCAGCCAAAGAGAAAAGGCAAAAACCCAACCCCAAAACCATCAGCAGCAAGCCTGGCAAGAGAAGAAACCACCCAAAGACAAGCGAACACGATGCGGTGTGTGTGAGCAGTTTCTATAAGGAAGAAGCAGACTCTCATGGGGCTGCAGGGCTTTCTGCTGAGCATGATGAGCCAATGCATCAGCTGTGCCTTCCTTTTATAACAACCTATGTAAATAATGGTATAAAATGTTGTGCTTTGGTTATGGGGACTCCTGCTGCTGCAGGCAGGATCTGCAGCCTTGGATACAGAGTGTGACCTGCTCATTGCCAGTGTGATTTGGTTCAGAAACTGCAGTTTGAGCCAGGCTTGAGGGTGGCAGCAAAGCTAGTCCTGCCCCAGAGCACTAGAAGGGGAAGGGGATGGCACATGTCCCGTCTGTGCCCTAAAGCGATGGTGGAGGGACCAACCTTGCCGCTCTCCACAGCCCACGCCTGGCCCATCCTCTGGGCAGAAGGGTGCCCATGGAGGGAATGGTTTCGGGGAGGCAGAATGTAGGAGACTTTGTCCATAGAGACACTCAAGTTGCAAAGACCCCCCTTGCACCCTGTGCACCACCCCCCTGGGGCCAGGAAGCTCACTGAACCGGGAGCAGTGAAGCTTTGAGACGTTGCGGCTCCGCTCCAGCATGGGTTGGATTCCCTTTGGCAGCGAGCAAACCCCCTGGGATTGTTTATAAACAAGGAAACCAGACAGATCCTCCTCCAAACCAGCGAGGGGATGCCAAACTCTGCTGCCTTTGGGCAATGCTGTCATGCCCTGTGGTGTCTGATGGAAGCTGGTGAGTGAATGCAGCCCAGAGCCACCCCAAGGAGGTGACACAAGGGGATAGACACAGTTTCTGTGCTAGCACCCAGCCCCTGTGGTGTCCCTGGCTTGCTCCATGGTACTGTCACGTACCTCCCACAGGGTGTAGATGTAGACCTTCCCCCTCTCCCTGCCCTCGCTGAAGTACATTGGGGCTCCCACCAGCAAAACATCAGTGATGCCATCGCCATTGACATCGAGGGAGTTGATCTCGCTGCCGTAGTAGGAGCCGATCTGGAGGAGATAGAGGAAGGGATGGGAGCAATGCTCCTGGCACGTAGGGGCTCTGCCACCCACCCCAGTGGGGACATTTCAATCCCTACTGCAGCCATGGGGTTCAGACCTGAGGGAACAGCAACAGCCAGGGAATCCCATGGATGTCCTACAGTGCTGAGCCATTTAAACGGGACAATTTGCGAACGAAGGGTGGGGATTGACGGAGGAGCATGTGTGCCACATGGGGAAATCCATGTAGCATCCTCAGCAAGTGCTACCTGCTCTCCCTTCAGTGCCTGGTGGATAGTGAGGTTCCGGTTGTTGTGCATGCTGAAAAGGATGACCTTCCCGGTGTGGTTGAACCTGGGAGCTCCCGCAACGTAGATCCGCTCGTGCTTGGTGGAGATGACGGAGGAGACGGTGTAACCTGGAAGGGGGCAGGCATGGGGTGAGCACGGCCGAGCATTCCCTGCTCCCAGCACTGCCTGGGATCTGCTTTCCATTAGCCCCCAGCTGCTGACACAGCTCTGGCCACTTCCCAGATCAGGAAGCAAGAAACCCAGATTTCCTCACAGATAAAGTCATTCACATCAAGCCCAGTGCCCCGACCTTGGGCTCTGAGCCGCCTGCTCAGGACCTACCTACACCCTGAGCCAAGAGTTCTGGCACTGCCTAATGCAGCTGTGCAAAATCCTTCTTTCACCGAGGCGAGCCCAGTTCCTGCCAGGATAAGTGTTTTATTTCATAGCTCGTATCAAGTTAAGGTCGTACACACCAGGAGGCTGCGGTACCTGCTCCTTCGAGACCCCTCCAACACCATATCCCAAACCAGGCATGAAAGGCTTTGCTGATGCTTGATGTGAACATTCACAGTCCAATAAGAGCCATGAATCCATCAGGACCGTTGCTCGTGAATCCTTATGGAAATGACCCTCTGTAAGTGAGTGACCCTGAGCAATCCCTGGGATCACCAACACACGTTGCATGCTGGGCTGTGGCACTTGCCCGTGGTTGCAGATGGGATTATGGAGGAAGATAACACCGGAGCTGCAAAATCCTGTTTTTCAAACCCAGCTCCAGGTTCCTGCACATTCAGTCAGTTTTAATATTACTTAAATTGTTAGAAACTCAAAGCATGGCCAACCATGAAGCTGGATCAGATCACGGGTTCACATCTAGTTGAATTTTGAGTATCTCTAGGGATTACTAGGGTTTATGGACCCCTTTCCCTGGGAATTGCCTCTATATGGGCTCTCTATTTCCCTAAATATTCCTTTCATGGGGGGATATTCCTAAACCAAGCATCAGCCTTGAAAATCCCATGTCCCAGCACTAGGCAAGCTGGGCTGCTCGCTTTTGTATCCTAAATATTAAGGAAATCAAACATTCCTTAATGTTTCTGGATTTCTTACTCCAGACAATGGGAAAGAGAGTCCAGCTGAGCTCCCACACACTCTCACGGATTTCCCTTGCACAGCCACAACCATCCTCACTCCAGGCATTCTGCTGTCACCCCAACGGATGACCTCCATGTCCAGGGGCTGTTCATATTCCCAGCACAAGGAATAGGCCCGACACGCTGGCAGCCAACCCCACAGCATCCCACCCCACTCCCTGCCCTGGGCCAGCTCATCCTGGCATGCACGTCTCCGGAGGTTTTATAACCAGGCTGTTATTTTTACTCGGGAGCCTCAGCAGCTGCACATGGAACGGATTAACCCAGCAGGTATTTCCTCCCTAGGCATGGAATTTCATCACTGCTTTTTAAACCATTCCAGTAAGTGCTGCAGATGACCCGGGCTGAACGGTGTCTGAGCTACTTCTGCATTGAAAGCACTCTGTACTGCACACCATGGTGGACAGCGGGCTCTTCCCAGGTGAGGATGCTCACGTAGGCTGTATCCCAGAGCAACACAGGTCTCGCTCCAATGGAAGCTTGCAAAGAGGCAGGTACACTCTCCAAAGCTGGGAGCACTGGCTGCTATTAGTCACTTGATAAATGTGTTGTGTTTCCTATTATTAAGCATAAAATCATGAACTCAGCCCTGGCAGCAGAGCCTCATTCAGCTTTCTTACCTAAATACGCGCCGTGATTTTTCAGCTCCTCTGGGAACTCCTGGAGATAAGATTCCCGCAGGGGAATGACCTTCCCGCTGCTGGTTTCCTTCAGGACAGCTCCGTTCCAGTCATAGGCACCCACTGCCCCCAGCAAGATCCCATCCTGTGGGAGAACAGGAGGAGTTTAAGGGTATTTCTCGCCAAGTGAAAGCAATTCTCCCCCATGCTGTCCATGCGGGCTAAGTCAATTCATGTTGAGATGGTTGCAGGGACCTGATGGGGTGGTTTTGTGGGAGAAGGGGTCCCTAAAAGCCCAACTTCTAGACTATATAGAATCATAGAATGGTTTGTGTTGGA